TCCCACCAGTAGTTTTTAAGGTTGTTAGTGACAACTAAGGGGGCTCAAAATCCCTTCAACTCAAAATTCAGAAACCTGACAGCCCTTCCAAAATCTGACAAGAGTATGTAGTTGTCCTAGGTAGTTAGAGAAGGTAAAGTGAAGAAAAACATGTCATTAGAAAACAGACTTAGGCCTCAATGTTAGGAAGAATTTTCCAACATGCAGATCTGCCCAACAATGGAATTGATTGCTCGAGAAGATGGTGGATTTCCCTCACTGCAGGTTGTCAAGCAAAAACTGGATGACCACATGCTAGGAGCTGCACAAGACGTTCCTTAGACAATCTTTAAAGTCCTGTCCAACTCAAGACTGCACTAAATGAAATATATTGTAGGACAATTACAGATACATTTGGCAAATTGTGCAGCAGCAGAATTAGCAATCCCCCTTTAAACTGGAAAGAAATACATTTGAGGTCAATAAAATGTGATTTTATACCATGGTTAATAAGCTTCCTTACTCTAACAGGTTGAATGAGCTGAAAACAGAAATAGATTCAAGAAAGGCTTAGTTGAATGGATACATGTTCTACCCAAGGTAGGCTGCCAAAGGTAGGGAGAGAGGGCCTGAGGAATGCTTCCCCCAGTGAAGGCTGGCATCACCAGGACAAGCATCCCACTCCACCAGTGAGCTTGCACCAGGTCTGTCAGAGACAGCACACAGAACTGGATAAATTGCACATGGAACTGGATTCTTTCAAGTGCTTGCTGCAAAGCAATGCCCCCCCACAGCACCACCCTGCCTACAGAAAGAGTCTGGCCCTGATGACCTGAACGATTCCTGCCAGGTAGGAAGCATGCAGGTCACAGGGAAAGTCCAGGCCCCACTGGCCAAGCACTGCCCCTCCCACAGGGTGCAGGGTGAGACCCCAGAAAGAACTTTCCAGTCATGGGCATCACTCACAGTCTCGACAAAGCCTGGTTATTCTGGAACAGCAGTTCCGGTAACATGTGCATTTGGTTCCGGTTCAGTCGTCTGAAAAAGAGAAGAGTAAGAAGAGTTGGAAGTCACCTAGACACCCAGGAAATCCCAAGGAGCCTGCAAAAAGCCCTGGATGCAGTTAAAAGGCACAAGTTCAAACCTCAACAAGGTCACAAGCTCTGTTCAACTTTAGGGAAATTGCCTTTGGGCTTCAGCTCTTCATCTATGATGTATAAACCCTTCCATCCAACACTCAGGGTGGGTAAGAACAGAGTACCTGACTAAGCCCCTCACCAAGGACCAGCGGTGGAGTAGGCAGTCCATAAACAGAGCTCCTTTTCTCTTGTTATTTCCTGTCTATGCATCACCTTTGTTACTCTACATCTGTCAGAACCCTTGTAATTCGTAAGGCATGTGTACAAATACTATCCAGTTTGCGAGTCGGATACCTGATGACACTTAGATGTGACAGATACTCCAATGGAGCAGGATTGGCCACACGGTTCTGATTCTTAACTGCTTTCATCCACATTTGGCTCCAAGACTGAGCAGTGATTTAATTTTCTTATTGTCAGCTTTGGGCCTTTTTTAAAAGATGAAATTATCTACGCTGAGTTCATCATTATGAAAATGTATGCATACTAAAAAAAAGGAGGGGAGCATAAAATGTCTCCAAGAATACAAGAAAAAACTATTCACAACCTGCTTTTTTCCCATTTATCAGTTTGTGAATGTCTTCCCATGTCAATCAATTGGAAATTACCCCCCTTTTTAGTAACAATCTATTTTACTATTTGACCAAGCTATTTTTCAGCGTGAGCTACTTATTATACAATATAAAAACAAAAAACAACAGCTTCCTATTCAAACTGAATGACTCTAGTTTTATTTAGCAAGTCTTATTTTTGTAAACAAACATCAAATTTAAATGTTCTTTCTATCCATTTCCACACCATTTTATCCTTTCCCACTGAGGTGACAATTCAATCACAGTTCCCATATAGTTTTGTCACTGTAAATGAAGACTAGCAAAATTACAAATACTGCATTTTTGCATATAACACGCCCATGAAAATAATGTGCATGTAACGCATAGTGTGCATAGGAAATTAACACATGAGGGGTGGTGCTGTTTGCAATAACCACATAACACACACTATTTGTATAAAATATGGTAAGCTTTACCATTTGAAGCCACAGAAATTCTTCTAAATGGCTAATTCTGAAGAGAGCTTCAGAATCCATTTTGAACACATGCTCTCATTTTATTAAAATATTACTTCAGCATCACAGTTTTCCATGTGTTCCTGTGCCCATAACACTGTTGTTGTTAGGTGCCGTCGAGTCGGCTCTGATTCACAGTGACCCTGTGCACAACAGAATGAAACACTGCCCAGTCATTCACCATCCTCACGATCCCCTGCTATACCTGAGCCCCTCGTTGCAGCCACTGTGTCAACCCATCTCATTGAAGGTCTTCCCCTTTTTTCGCTGTCCCTGCACTTTACCAAGCATGATAAAAGGAGCTTCAAAGATTCTTTTTTTCTTTTTTTGAAGGACTAGCTTTTTCTAGGACTAACAGATTGATGGCCTCTTTGGAGAATTTGGTATTGTTCCCATTCCTTTGATGATCATACGGTTTTCAACTTCACCTGAGGCTAATAACATCAGAATGGAGAATTCAAATAAAAAGTTCAGATTAAAAGAAAAAAGAAGGTCTCTTCTTGGCTAAGCCTCTGATTTTTCTACTGTTCTCATTTATTTGTGTGCATGTGTGTGTGTGTGTGTGCATGTGAATAAACTGGACCAAACTAACAAAAAACAAACTCACTGCCACCGAGTCGATTCTAACTCATAGCAACCCCCATTGGGTTTCCAAGGCCATAAATCTTTATGGAAGCAGACTGCCTCATCTTTCTTCTGCACAGCAGCTGGTGAGTTTGAACCACCGACCTTTTGGTTATCAGCCAAATGCCTTAACCACTACACCACCAGAGCTCCTAATAAACTGGACATATAATTATAAAGAGCCCAATGGAAAGGTGACATGCATTTAAATGAGAAATTGAACATATTTTAAATATCAGACCCCAATTTCTTCAGTTATGAAGGAAAAAGATCATACAATTTCAACTTAATCTTGGGGTTTGTTTCTCTTCAGAACTTTCACTTATTCATAACTTTTATATTATATAACTTTGATTTGAAAAAAAAAAACAAAAAACTGCTTTACACTTCCCCGTGTGGAAAAATGAAAGATTTACTATCAGTTATAATGAAACTATTGCTTCAACTTAAACTATGTGAATGAAGTCTTTTCTAATTCAGAGCAAACTTAAGGGCACTTCCCCTACTAAACACTGAGATAAGTTGTGACAGATTTCCTAAAGGAAAATCCTATGGTCTGCCATTGTGAACTATGACAGAAATAACATGTAGCTCCAGTGCATTCATTCAAATTTGAGACTATGGATAAGCCACAGACTATGGTTTTCATGGACCATAAATGTGGGAAATTTAAATGAACACTTGTAAGATTATGATTCCTCTACAGTTCTCAAATTTCTAAATGAAATGAAAAAAAAAAAAACAGACACCAATCTGTCTAGCTACTGTACGACATAAATGACCCTGGCCTATGGGAAAATTTTGTTTTCACTGTCAAACTTACTTTATAAATACAATGCATAAACTTTTAAAGTAGCAAACATCTCATCGCTTTTTTAGTCACTGTCCCCCTGAGTCTAACTCGTGGCGGCCCCAAGTGGGCAGAGGAGAACTTATCCACAGGATTACAAGTCTTTGGTAAGCAAATCATCAGGCCTGTGTTCCAAGAGCTCCTGGGTGGGTTTGAGCAGCCAACCTTCCTGCTAGCAGTCAAGTGCTTAACAGTTTGCATCACCCAGGGACTGCTGACATCTTATTAAGGATGATGAAAAAAAGAAAAAACACAAAATAGCTAAAACAAATAAAGCATGATATGACTGTTTTCAATCAGTGTTGTTTACAGTGCCCTCTTGCAAAATGACAGGCAACATCATACTTGTTTTTGCATTTGCATCCACATGTATTACACTGAAAAGGTTTCCATATCCACGATGTCCCATATGAACAGTATAAAGGATATTGTCTACAAAATACATGTCACAGTGGTGGCAGTGGTGCAGAAGCTGGGAGCCTGGACTGGCAGCATTGGGACTGGAGTGTTGGGCTGGCTGTTTCCTTTGCTAGGAGTAGTCGTGTGGGCACTTGGTTCACTGCTGGGACCTGCCACTGGACTGTAGTTCATTTCACTACATGATGGCTGAGGGTCGGGGCTTATGGGAGAGGAGCTCTGAGGAATAGTTGCTGACACAAAAACTTCTGGGCAGAGGGCTGCTGATCATGGAAGGCTTTCATCGGGGCAGGAAACTAAGCTGAACAGAGGGGCTGCAGGGATTTGGTTTTCAGGCAGCTGAACAACAGTCCTACTGGAATCAAGAGCTGATTCAAAGGGTTGTGCTATGAGTTCTTGGGGAGGTTTCTCAGTAGCCCACCAGTAGGTGTGGTTTTCACTATATTTTCATAGGATTCAGTCTGAATGTTTGGGATTTATGGGTGAAACCTTTAAGGGAGTCTGGTTTCTGAACCATCAGGGAAGGTCAACATAAGTTGATTAATGCTCTTCTGTTACCCCAGATCGTTCATTTTCTTCTGTAAAACCTCCCACATGTTCTTGCTGCTCAAGGAAGACCTAGTACTTTTAATTGGTACCATTTTATGCTTGTGCCTTTGATGAGGGGACAGGTTACTTCAATCACTGCAATGGAAGGAACATAATTCACATTCGTGTGGTTTTTCTCCAACATGGGCTTCTAAATGACATTCATAACCACATGCACTACGTCAGTGATATCCACAGGGTTTCTCACCTGTGCGGATTCTAATATGTTCAGTAAGCTGGGTGATTCCTTTGCTGGCATAGTTGCAAAACCAACACTTGAGCTTCCCATCAAAGTTCCTTTCAAACCCATCTTCTAATATTCCTGAATCTTCATCCAGGGAAATGTCAACAGATGGGTTATCAAGTCCATTTTTTACCATCATCTGTTCCAGCTCCCTGAAGTGCCTCTGCTTCTTGGTCCCCAGAAATCATGCTCACATGATAGGACTACTGAGTCAGGTACTCCTGAAAATCTTTCACAAAGTTCAAAGAGTCTGGTTTCTTTCCACCTATCTTTGCTTCTTCTTGATGTTTACAATTCATAATGTATTTAAAAAAAAAAAAAAAAAAGTTTCCCCTCAAATCAGTTCCTCCTTTTTCTTGCCACTCCAACATTGATGAAATGCAAAGCATTGGGAATTTACTCTGGAGGCACATCAAAAAGCCATGGAGGAAATGTCAACTAAAATTGAAAAGTCATACAGCAGTGTCCTGACATCCATACCAAGTAACTCACGCTGCCTTGTTTGTCACCATCGCTGCCAGTTTGTTGTGTCTCAGCTCCTTTCCTGTCTCGTTACTCTGCCCAAATCTCACGTGAGCAGACATAGGGCCAAAGTGGATGAGGAGCCATATCCCCTTTTATTATTAATGGCTGAAGAGTATATTCATAACGTTTAAATCCCCTACTGGTGGGCAACCAACTTTTCAGTATTATAAACACAAGTCAGTAGTGGAAAGTCTGGTTCTGAAATTTGGTCTGATGAGAAGACATAATGCAGAGAAGACCCGGACTTGCCCCAGGAAGGAAGCTAAGTTTAACCAAACTCATCTTTCCCACTTTAAACAACTGATTCATTGACATTGGAGTCTAAGACATAACAAGGGATAGTATCTAAATTTTTAAAAACTATAGTAGCATAGTGACTGCTAACCAGAAGGCTGGTGGTTCAAACCCACCAGCCACTCCTCGGAAGGAAGATGGGGCAATCTACTTCCATAGTGATACTGCC